GAATGCCGTGCGCGACTGGAAGGAGACCAATGTACTGTTGTCCCTCGTACGTGTCCCACCCGTTTCCTCGTCTCCGTCAGCGGGTGCCTGGAGCTTTACTTGCTCCATGCCAGTACACACCCCCTCCCCATCCGCAGTGGATAATTGAAGGTCTGCTATCGAACATGCGGCGTCCTCACAGCAGCGGGCGGCGGCGGCGGCGGCGGCTGCAGCGGCAGCGGCAGCGGCTTCTGCAGCCTCTGCTGCAGCAGCTGCCATTTCTCTATCCGTCCGTAGCTCGGCCACGTATTCTGCTCGCCGTGGGGCAAGTATGGCCTCCACCTCCTGCACAAGGTCGGCCGGAAACGGCGGCCGGCCGGCGAGATCCGCACGCAACAGTTTTTTCCGCAGCAGGGCACGTGCGTTGGCGGCGGCTCCCGCTTCGTCAGGCACCAACTCCACGGGCTCCGCCGGACGCATCGGCTCCAACGTCTCCGGGTGATACGGTCCATCGTACAAAACGACGGCGAGCGAGGTGTTGGACCGCAGCACCTCAAGCAGCACCCGCAGAAACGCTCCAGTGAGGAAGTTGCAGTCGAGGTTGAGTAGTCGCAGCCGGGTGTTGTGCTCGACAAGCGCACGGAGTATCGGCTCCACGTCACTATCGTAGAGACCGTTGTGGAAGAGCGAAAGCTCGCGCAGCGGTGGATTTGTGAGCAAAAAGCTCGCAATTTTTTCACACCCCGCAGGCCCCATGTGGTTGCCGGCGAGATTCAGCGACTGCAAATTCGGCGGTGTGCCGCAACCGCCGACGAGTGCCTCCGCCGTGCGGACGGTGAGGGCGTTGTAGGCGACGTCCAGAAAACGCAGCGCGGGGCTGGCGGCGAGCACCTGCAATACGCCGGGGTGCGCCACGAGAAGGCCGTCGTCGCCGAGGTAGTGATTAGGCACACGGACCTCCTCCACAGGCACGCGCGCTGCATTCTCCTCTGTGGCATCCACCGCCGGCTCTACTGCTGCTGCTTCTCTCGGGCTTTCGTGTTTCATGTTATCTACGCCGATGTCACCTGCCTCAGTTGGCGCCGGAAGCGCCTGATGCATCTTCGACAAAAGTGCGAGTAGCTCCTCACGATTGGTGCAGACAAACACATGGTCCTCACTGACCTTCCCAAGCAACTCCCGACTCTGCCCAACACCCATTTCCTCTTGTTGCTCTTGTTGCCAAAAGGAGGTGGATGGTAATATAAACGACTGGCTATTTTTGCCTTCCTAATGTATATGTGTGTATGCACACGTGTAGGTGGACGGGGCTGTCGTTTGAGGAAGAGCTGCTGCGACGTGGCTCAGCACACTTGCAAGCAAAGAACAAATCATCATACACACACACACACACACACACAGACACACATTTAAAAAAGGAAGAAAAAGAAAGAAAAAAAGGTAAAGGACGACAAACACATGCGCGCCCATCAGCAGGAGCAGCAATAATAATAAGAATGACATGCTCATACCGCAATGTTACAAGGGAGGTACATTTTGTAGGAACATACATATATACACGCACACACACACACATGCACCCTCATTTTCTCCGTTTTTTTTTTGTTGTTGTTGTCCTTGGAGGGGTCTAATGTACATTCCTCCGCATCCATGGAAGCGGCAATGAAGTGCAATACCTCTACGTGTTTCTCTTTTCCTCCCCTGCGTCTCAGGGAGCCCGCACCCCAAGTGACGATAAGGACCTGTCCATAACCCCCTGAAATAGAAACAAAGGCATTGTAGTGCTACAAAGAGAATCGATTTTCTGTTCTAGGTGAGGACGCCGTGATTTGCTATGCTTCTGCAGCAGATGCATCAACACCTTGCTGGCCTGCAGATGACCCAACTCGGCCGCGAGCAACAGTGGTGTACGACCCATGCCATCATGGACGTTCAGGTACTCCCAGACGGTGCAGATCGCCATGTTGCGGCACCCATCCGCACGCAGGAGGCTCACGCCACAACGGCGTGGGTGAGGGGGTAGCAGACGCCCCTCAATATCACCATACTCCTGCTGTTGCAAACGGATGTCTTGCTGCAGGAGGCGATGGGTGATGGGGACCAGGCAGCCGTCATCCACCGCCGCTGAGCTGCCCTTAAGCGTGCACGGCAGCCAACCCCCGACGCACTGCACAAGCGCCTTGATGCTGGCGCCGTGGTCGGCCAACACGGCGTAGTGCAGCGGGAGACACCCACGCGCGTCCAGGAAAAAGGCACAGCTCCCATCATCGTGCATGAGCAGCTTGCGCACCGCCTCAACGTAGCCGGCAGCACAGGCGCAGTGAAGCGGAAGCCGACCGTCAGCGTCCACCTGCAACGCTAGCGTGGGCCCAAGCGAGCACCCAAGAACTGTGCAGATAACCGGCAGCAGGGAAGCCTGCTTTGCTGCATCGCTGTGGGAACACAGGTAATGCAGCGCCGTCCGCACCTGACCGTCCGTGAGCAACAAGTGCTGTGGATTCAAGGAGATCTTCATCTGCACTTGCGATTCAACACTCTCACCAGACGCGTCTGCGCCCTCCAGCGACGCGGTGGTGATGCCGGTCGAAGAACTCACCCTCAGATTGCTGTTCGAGTCCCGCTGTCGGCGATCCACGCTACCATTGGTGTTGGCAGTAGCATCGAGGCTGACCTCCTCGTTGCCCTCGGAGATGATAGAGCCGTTATTCCCAGGTTGGTGCTGCTGCTTTTGACGACCGCGACGTTGAGCCAACTGTGTAGGCGAGGGCTGCTTTTGCTGACGGCCACTGCGGCGGTTTGATGGGGACAACAAGTTGTTGTTCGAGCGACTCCGGGTGGCGTTCCGGGAGCGATCTCGTTGTGCCCCCCGCGTCCCGTGCGAGTGTAGGGCTTTGCCGTAGGTAAACTCCTCCTGCTGATGCAGCAGCAGATGCAGCATGTCAGCCTCCCCGCGACGTGCGGCGATAAGAATGGGAGTGTCCAACGTACACCCACTCCGCGCGTCTGGTGCAGCCCCAAAGCGCAGAAGCTCACGCACCAGCTCACACGCCTGCGGAAGCGTTGACTGCGTCGCAAGATGCAGTGGGGTTTGTTCCAGATTGTCCGTCTCATTTGGGTCGGAGTAGTTCTCCAGTAGCAACAGCATGATTTCCATTGACCCATCGACCACAGTGCGGTGCAGCAGCGAGCCGCCCGTTGGCAGACCGCTGGAGTGTCGCACAGACGCGTACCCCACCGTTAGCAGCAGACGCGCGATCACCGGATCGCGTGTGGTGCAAACGGCCATTTCCAACGCTGACTGATTGGCTATCAAGTCCTCCGCCTCCACGTCGATCACCGCGGCGGGCTCAACGGCGTGGAAGTCAGCTATCAATGGGACTCGGGCCCTACGTCGCGTAGTGGCGATTTTCTTGCGGGTGGAAGGCGACGACACCGTACTCTGCGATTCCGTCGCGACACTCTCGCCGTGCTTCAAAAGTAGCTCCACGATTTGAGCCTCGCCCGCCAACACAGCGAGGTGCAGGGCGGTGCGCCCCGCGTAATCCGTCTTTCCGGCGTTGAGGGAAGGGCATGAGCTTAGCAGCGCACGCACCACCCCGCTGTTACCGTGCGCTGCAGCGTAGTGCAACGGTGTCCGCCCCAGGCAGTCCTGCACATTAATGTCAAAGTTTGCGTGTGTGGGCAACACAAGCGGAGAGATGAGTAGCTCCATCACACTTGGGTGCCGTGCAATGGCGGCGTAGTGTAGCGCGCATGCCCCCTTCGCATCCTGCACCATTGGATCCACGTGATATTCAACGGCAAGGCGTCGAATCAGCTCCGGATGGTACGCCACAATGGCGTGCATCAGGGGGGTCAGGTGTGTGACAAACGACATGCTTGGCAGTGTCGCATCCTTCCCGGCGGCGTGGTGTCCCGCAAAGGCACTCACGCCCTCCAAGCTGGCGCTGGCACGTGCATTTTCAGGCCTGTCGCCTTGCTCCGACGGCAGCCAACTGTAGCTAACGGATGAGGAAGCTGGCTGCAGATGCATTGTCACCGCAGATTCTCCGTATTTGTTAACTTCCGCCCGTTCATCTACCTTTCGCACCTCCGCTTGCGGCGCATCGCCGTGGACGTTGGCGCCACGGTCACACAAGTTCTGTATCATTACCCACGCATTGCAGTTGGATGCAAAGTACCACCACGCGTCGGCGACAGGCGCAAGGCATGGGAAGTCCATATCTGTCCCCATCCCAGCAGCCGTCGCACCGAGAGGCTTCATCGTCCGCGGGGAGGGCGTCACAAGCGGTGGCATTGGGGTCAAAATATAGTTCTGCAGCGCTGGCGCTGGCAGCGCTGCCAGTTTTTGTGCGTCGGACTGTCGCAGGGTCTCACGAATGGCGTAGTCAGCGTTCAAGCCTTGCCCGTAGCAAATGAGCGAGACGAGCGCCGTCTCGCCCAGCGCATTCACCGCATCAATGGAAAGGCCACGCGCCAACAACACATCCAAAACGGCGGGCTGCGCCGCAGCGTAATGTATCAACGTGTAGCGGCCATCCAACGAGATTTGCCCAATCGCATCCCCCGCATCCAGCAAGAACTCCACCAACTCCTTGTCACCCCTCGCGCAGGCACGTGCAAGGGCGGTCTGAGTGCCGTTCACAAGGTGATAAAATGCGCCTGGTGCACCGTAGTACAGAAGCAGCTGCACCGCCGTCGCGTCCCCGCGACGCAGGGCAAGATCCATCGCCGTCCAGCCATTCACGGAGGTGCGGGCCTCAAAGTCAATCACCGTCCCATCCAGGTGTAAGACGGTGTCACCACCGTGGGTTGGCACTGTGCTCCCAGCGGAGCTTGAGGGGCGCAATCCACGGGGTGTGTGCCTTGAGGCGTTCACCGTAGCGCTGCCTTGACGCCCGCGTGACGCGTTCGCCGTGGGCGACGCAGCAGCACCGGAGAGAAACAACACCGAGTTATTCAGGCGGTCGGCACGCCCCAGACGTTTCAGCAGTGACTCCGGCAGAGGCCTCGACTCACCCACCAGCATAAGTAGATCCAACAACAGTGTCGGTTGCCCCAACTCCACAAACAAATGCAAAATCGTCCCCTTTTCACCTGGGCTCGTTTGAAAGTCCTTCCCATGCAGTGAGATAAACTGCGACACGGAGGCACCGTGTTTCAGAAGCCACTGCATCATGGCTACAGACTCGGTGGTGTAGCGGCCTTGCAGCACCAGGGCGATAAGCGGAGGGAGCGGGTCCTTGTAGAACGGCACCTCCTCACAAGCTTCCACGGGATCTGCACCATTTTCAAGCACCGCCTCCGCCTCCGGAACACTGCACTGCAAACACGCCTGCATCAGCTGGTGATTCCACGTGTTATTTGGGTCCTCAAGCGCCCGCCGCTTTAGCTTGGGAGACATTTCTGCTAGTTCTGTGACAACTTTTTTTTCCCCCTTCGCCTATCCTCACACACGCTCGCCTAAAGCTTCACCACGACTTCCACTGCTGCCAGGAAATAAATAAAGAAGAAAAGCAAAAAGGAAAAAGAGAAAAAGAGAGAAAAATAAAAATAAAAAAATGTTGCGCAAGGGAGTGACAGTGGGGGGAGGGATGGAGGGCATACAGACACAGAGACACATACATACATGTCTCTCTCTCTCTCACTCCCTTTCTTTCTCTGTTTCGCCAGCTACCCCTCGGAATGCGTATCTACCGTTCAAAGATACACGGACACAGACTGGTACACAGATAAACACTAGGCGTGGCCAAAGACCCTCTGCTGACGCCAGGACAGCAACTACACGCCATCCCCTCCTCCCTTCCACACTCCACCACCCAAAGAAAGGCTGGGCCAACAAAAGAGACAGCACAGATGCAATTCATATCAGCAATCGACACCGCGTCCCTCCGTAGGGAAGAAGGGAGAAATAATGAAAAAACACACTAAATAAACAGTGAAAAGTACAGCAACTCACAAAAGTCAAAGACGTAGGGAAACATCAAAAGAGTGACACGGAAAACAACCATAACAATGCACGTGTAAGCCTCCTATAGACATAAATACGCCCATCGCACGCACCAGCCATTGCAGTCGGAGTTTGTGGTTGTCGTGTTGCTCTTCCATACTTTTTCTCCAATTTCCGTGGGATTCGTTTGTTCTATCACCAGTCAGCCATAAAATTGAACCTGTGGAGGTCTTGTAATATATATGTATGTATAGTTACGCGTGGAGACATATAAATTACGACTGAAGGCGTTGCCGCATTGAATCCCGCGCCTTGTACAACGCGGCGAGTTGTTTATCTGCCGCCGCATCTCCTGTTGAGCGGTGCTCCGGGGCGTAGGGGTTCGGGGCCCCGCCGTTGCTTTCCACGTGATTCACGGGGAGCACGGACAACGCCGATGCCTCCGCCCCTGTCAAGTCGTTACTTCCTACCGGGGGGTAGTTCATTGGAATGAGTGTGTTGGGCGGTGCAGAGGATGAGGTGCGCTCCATCCCCAACGCTGGCGGAGCGGTGGCCGGGTGCATCTGCAAGGGCCCGGAAGGAGCATTTACCTGCACCGACGCCGGCGAACTGATGTTCCCGCTAACCTCGCTCATCCCCCTGCTCACGGAGGTCCACGTGTTATTACCATTCCGCATCCGCGCCGACGTCATGGCTTCTTTTCGCAGTGGCGGGAGTTCAAACGGCATGTTTGGCATGGACGTCACGCGCCGCTGCGTCGCCGTCTGCTGCTGTGGCAGAGATTGAAGAATATTTTGACGCGTGAAGAGCGGGGAGGACACGGACGGCGTGCTGGTGTTCGTCATTAGGGCGGGGGCAGGAACGGGGCCGGAAGCGTTCACCCCCCCACTCGTGGCCATGGCGAGCTGCTTCTTCCGGATCTGCAGCCAGTCCTCAAAGTCCCGCGTCAACTGCTCCTGCGACCGCTTCATAAACATGTGCATGGCGTCAATCTCCTCCTTTTGCCGCCTCAGCGAGGTGGCTAGATCGTTGTAGGTGGCCTTGGTTGCTGTCAACTCCTCCAGCAAGGTCTGCTCCGCGGTATCTATCGTCTCAACCCCCTGCAACGCCCGCTCCGCACGCACACGCTGAATGTATGCCTTTAGGTGTTTGATACGGTCCACCGCGTCGTTGAGTTGTCGCGCGGTGGTCTTACAGGCGTCGTATCGCTGCTTCAACTCCCGTTTGTTGTCCTCCACCTCGGCACAGTGGCGATAGGAGCGATGGAAAGCCTCAAAAGCGGTGGCGCGGTCCTTCAATAGGTCCGCGTCCGTGAGGGCGGAGAGGTCGTACACCTCATTGAGTTGCTCCTGTTTGCGAAAAAACTCATCGACGGCGGTGAGCTGCGCCGGTTCGAGTCGGTCGTGCAACGTACGGCGGTACAAACTCACGGCAGTTTGACTCCCATTTTCAGGTAACTGCTGCGGTAGCGAGGGTGACAGCGGTGCTCCTCCCTGAGAGGCGACTTCTGCTCTGGCACTAACAACGGCGGTAGGAACACCGTTGTTGTTGTTGTCGTCATTTTTCCTACTGCTGCTGCAGTACGCCGCCTCCGCCGTGGCGCCTGTCTGCGTTTCCACGTTAAAACGCGCCCGCTGCGTCTTCTGCAGAACGCCAAAAAGCATGTTCATCTCATTCTCCTTCTGCTGTAGACTTAACTCTAGGGCATCGATGCGGGCACGGTAGAGCTCCAACGGATGCTGTGATTGTTGCTGCGTCAGCTGGGAGCCGACGGAAGCGTTAAAGCCTACACCCCCACCCCCACCGCCGCCACTTGCTAACATGCGCTTCATCACGTCAAAGCAGTAGTAAATGCGTGCAAGGTCTCCATCAAAACCCTCAATGCGGACATCAGTGCCGGTGTCGGAGACGTATCGTCGCACCATATCCTGACACCGCTGCTTTTCATCGTCGGTGAGCTCACGATCGGGGGCACCGCCGCCGTCTTTCGTGTAGAACGCCAGCTGATCCCGCAGCTGCTGCAGCTCCATCTTGAGCTTCCGTACCAGCAGATGCGCATCCACCTCTTCGTTGATGTGCGCGTTCTGGCAGATAAGGGCAACGCGCTGTGCAAAGCGGCAGGTGCTGATCGTCTCCGGCAGGTGGTCCAGGACGAGGTGGGCGGTGGCGAGCATGCTTGTGCGGCAATTCCCCCCCAGTGAGTCCCGCAGCACCATCGTCATGAAGGAGTTTCGGAAGGGTACGTGTTCACGCCTCCCGCTGGCCTGCTCGCTAAGCGCCATGATGACCTGCTCCAGGTAGTGCAGAGAAAGGTTGATGTGCTTCGCCTCCGTCAACACCGTCCCACTCACCCCCGTCTTAGCCACTCGCTCACTGCCGGCAAGGTCGACGAGGTTCAGCTTGGAGTGTCGCACCACAGATGAGCCGTGGGCGCGGGTCTCGAGGTAAATTGTAAAAACACAGTGCGAGCGCGAGGAGGTCTTGTTCATCGGCGTTTCACAATAGAGTCGGTTGGTGTCGCCGAGGAAGAGCAGGTTGAGAGCCTCCTCCACGTTGGGGGCCCCGTGCTGGGCGAGCCCCTTCAACAGCACCTCCTCGTCGTCCACATCGTGGATGGTGACGGTGGGCAGATCCTCCAACCGCCGCGCGTCACGGCCGTGGTTGAGCAGGTCCTGCCCCTTGTCGTTGTAGATCTGCAGGTACGACACAGCGATGCTCCATGTCCCCTCCTGCTGCCGCCGCGCCACCTCGTCGTAGATGAGCGCCAGCGCGCGTGGGATAATCCCGCGGTCCTCGTAGCTCTCCGCGCCCCCCGTGATGCTGTACGTCTTGCCGCTGCCTGTCTGCCCGTAGGCGAAAATGGTGCTGTTGTAGCCGTCCAGAGCCGCCACAACGCAGTCCTTCGCGACGACGTTGAACACCTCCTCCTGCGTCGCGCTCGGCTCGAAGGCGCGGCGAAAGGTAAACTTGTAGTCCTCCTTCGCGTTGTTCACCACACCCGCCTCCGCGCGGCGCTCAACGTGGAAGTGCACCGTCGACTGCTCAAAGGTGTGCTCCACCGCATACCCGCACGTCTCCGCCTCCCTGCCGCTGTTGCCAAGAAGCGGCCGCGGCAGTCCCTCCGTTGCCGGGCGAATGCGCAAAAAAATACGAATGCCCTCCGGTTTCCCCATCGCCCACACACTCCCTCACAGCCCGCCCTCCCCTCAGTAAAGGCAATAACAGTGACGGCAGTCGCGCGGCACCTTATGATTTCTACCTCTCTCTCTCTCTCTCTCGGTATGTGCGAGCGTCTCTACACTGACTTCGATGAATGGGGAAGCTGGGTTTATATATAAACAAATATAGTTGCCGCCTTTGAAGAGAATGGAAAGTAAATAAACAAAAATGAGTAAAAACAACACCACCTAAAAAAAACAAAAAAAAAAAGGGCTTCCTCTTTAGACTCTCCCTACTTCTTCCTCTTTTTCCCTTTCCGTCTATGCGGGCAATAAAGGTAGCAGAGCAGCGGCAGGACGCTGCCGTCGTAGGCTACAAATCCGCAGTGCCGCGGTGCCCCTCTTTTGTTTTTGTTGTTGTTGCAATTGTTTCTGTAGGGACCTCCTAAAATAACACAAGCCATCGCGCAGAAAAGGCAAAGAGAGCAACCATCAGAAGCAGCAACAAAGTAGAGAAGAGGCGGAAGGGCAACACCTCACGTCAGGCAGCCTACATACCGTACGTAGGTGGAGATGCACTGGCATCGTTAATGCACTTCGCCACCACTGTAATGGGCGCACGAGATGCGTTGCCCTCACTTTGCATAGATGGAGGAGCGACGACAACGTGGTGCATCTCCCTCCGCAAGCACACACCCATATGCGTAGACTATCTTCTCTTGATCAGTCTCTCTTTCTCCCTCTTTTTTTTTTCGTTCCCGCCCCCACCCCTCACCACTCAGCTGTCCAATAACATGCCCTGCGCAAGCGTGGCTCCTGCTGGAGCTGTTGCAATGAGCCGCTAATACGCCTTTAATACATTCCCCCCCTCCTCCCTTTTTTTTTTGTCTTCTTCTGTGTTATCTGCAGTCAACATGACCACCACTTGACCCACTACCTTTTTTTCTTCCTTCTGTACGCCTCACGTCTCCAGAGTCGTTGATAGGCGCTGCTGCCGCGGCTGGGAGTGTTGGTGCGTGGCCTCACCCTCGTCGCGGCGCCGGATGCGCACAAACTCGCGGTGGCTGTAGACAATGCATCCCAGCACCGAGACGTTTACTCCCACGAACGACGGCACGGTGAAGGCGTAGTCGCTGAAGATCATGCCGACGTACGACATGACGACGTTTTTGCTGGCGCCGATCATCGACGCTGTCAGCGGGGAGTTGAGCTTCATGCAGAGGTACGTCGCGTAGCTGATGCCGTAGCCGGAGACTGCGCTGAGCGCGAGAAAGGCGGCAAAGGCGGGGGTCCCGCCATCAAACTGCCGCAGCCCGGTCAGTTCCCACTGCACGTTGCAAAGCAACATGAACCCGGCGAAGCAGGCGGCAAAGGCGTTCGTGTAGAACATAATTCCCTCCGAGCTAAACTTGTTCTCGTCCATCTTCTTGCGGGTGAGGACGCCGTTGAGCGAGGTGCAGACGTCGTTCACGAGCACAAACAAAATCCCCTTCGGCGAGGCGTTGACGTCGAGGCCGGTGGCGATAAGGGCACCTGCAATCATGAGCGTCACGGCGGTGCGTGTCTCCCAGTCGTGGTGATAGCGCAGAAAGACGGCCTCGCCAAGGAGCGTCAGCGCAATGGAGAGGCGGCGCAGCAGCACAAAGAGCGGCATGTTCAGCGACTGCGTCGCCCCAAGCCCGCTAAGGGTGTTGAACACAAATACCATCGGAAGCGGGAACAGCTCCACAAGGGTGATCTGCACGAACCCCTTCAGCGGGAAACTAATGGCGCCCTGGTAGCGGCGCGCCAGCGACACGACCGCCGTCGTCGTGTACTGCAGGAAGCCTACAAAAATAAAGCAGCGGAAGCCAAACTCGGTAAAAATGGTCTTGTTGAGCATCATGATGCCAACCGACATCACGGCGTAAAGCAGCGCGGAAAACAGCTTGAGCCGCCACGGGGCCGTCCGTGCCGTCATCTCAAGAAGCGGAGCATGTTGTTCCCGGTGCTCGTCCCAGACGTCCTCCGCAGTTTGCACCTCAACGCCTAACGGAGTGAAGTCGCGCACGTTGAGGGCAGCCCCGTCACACGCGCCGACCCTTCCGTATCCCTTCATGCCCTCGGAATGCATGTCTTTCCCCGCCCCGGCGTCGTCGTCCAACGGAAGAAGCTTACCGCCGTTGTTGCAGCTCATCCCTAGGCTCCCCTGCACCTCCCTCCTGCCCCTACCCTGCACGCGTGGCTGTTTACGTATTGCACGCTGGCCACTCCACCAGAGTGGGTGTTGTAATGGAGCTGTATTTGTTCAATTGCGCACGACACTAGGACCCTTCACTGGGAGACACTGCAGTATTGGCGATGCCGATGCACACACCCCGTTGGCGTAAATAAAACACCTACGCAAACAAAAAAAAAAAATAGATAATAAAGAAATGAAAGAAAGAACCCGGTAAACGCCAGATGCTCCACGGAAAAGCGGAGTGAAGCGCAGCACACGCACACAGACAGTCCTCCTAAGTTCCCAAGACCAGCCATAGGAACGTCAATTGATGCGCCTCCGCCTCCGCCTCCGCCGACGCCGCGTTGGTTGTCTGTCGCCTCACACGACAAGCATCACGGACGCTACAGGCAACAACAACAAGCAAGCAAGCAAAAAACAAAAAAAAGACAAAAAAAACAACGATATTAATGGCATGCACTACTCATCCACATATCACAACCCCACTGCCAATAATCGGAAGGCCGGGGTGAGGCCGTGCACTCCCTTTGAGTTTGGACGAGCCAAAGGAAAGGCTCCGCCAACGACAGGCGCCACGGCACCTGAATGGGCACCCTGCATGCCGCCGCTCCAGACAGACAGAAAGAAAGAAAGAGGGTGGGATGCGGCATCGGGACAGAAAGCCATGGTAACGTGAACGACGCCGCCGCATCCAACAGCATGCTTCCCACACGGTGCCTTTGCCCGTCATTCGTGTTGTTTCTTTTTATTCACCCCCAGCTTCACATGAAGAACTGCCGCTGCCGCTCCCTCGGCGCCCCAATTTGCGACCGAGCCACGCCAGCAGCTCCATTTGTTGCTTCGCCCGCGTCGCGGCGTCTTCCAGCGGCCCTCGCTGACCCAGCGCAGGCCCCTCAACCGCGTCCGCCCCCGCGGCTGCGGAGACTCCGCACATCGTTTCTGGAATTTCTTGCGGCGGAAAAGGAGGCGAACCCCGCGGCCGCGACATTTGCAGAGAACCTGCGGTGCCGTCATCCCTCTCGTGCCTCCCCCTCCCGTCGTGCATGGCGCCAACATTCTCCTCCTCACCGTTGCCCACATAAATATTGGTCTCAATGCAATCATCACCCCGCTGCAAATCCTCGCGCGAAACCGCATGACGGCTGCTACCGCAGCCATTAACAGCATGTGTTTTCCCACGGGAGCTCCACAACGCCGTTGCCGAAGCTCGCATACACCTCTCTAGCCGCTCCAGCATCGCATCACAGTCACGCGGTGAAGGCGGCAACGACAACGAGGCCTCATGAAACTGCAGTACGGGCGTGCGCTCCCGCTGAGGCACAAGGCGCTGTATATTCCCCTGCAGCTTACTCTGTTCCACCCGCGCCTCCTCGGGGGCCTCTACATCCATAAAAAGGATCACCGAAAAATCCAAAAGAGAGAGCGGCAATGCATCGTGCAACACCGCACCGTTGGCTCTCAACGTCTGACGTGCGGCAGCCACGCCCAACTGATGCTCCACTCCCATCTTCAGGTCAAAGACGCACGTCGTCTCAAGCTGCAATCGCGACATAAAGACACGCAAAACAATCGGCCCAGACACAAGTTTAGGGCCCATCCCCATGTAACTCGCGATGCTGTTGCCGTGGTAGTCATCGCTGTCCCCGCCGTCTGCACTCGATGCAGCTTTTACCACCATCAGCAGTGTGACGGTGTCACCTGGTTCCGGTAAGGATGGCAACAAGGGCGTCAGGCGCGGGGCAGGCCTTCGCGTCGTCAGCAGCGCGTCTCCTGCTGCGTTCGCAGAAGGCGTTGCACCACCACACAGAGGCGTCCAAGGGCTCGGACTGTCTTCCCATGTCATCAGCATCCGTGGTTGATGCGAATCATACTGCGCTAGCTCTTCTTCTTTCTGAAAGTACGGCAGTGGTGGTGGTTCCCTTGACATCCCACGTGGAATGGCGTCTTGTTTCTCACGCTGCGTCGAAAAGCTTCTTTCTTCTTCTGCTACTGCTACTTCTGATGTGGAAATTTTCTCCTGCAACATCAGTTTGCCTGTAACGAATAGATCGTTAGATGAAAACCCCTGCAAGCTTACGAGCGACAAACGACCCGACGACCTACCGGAAGTTTCTTCCTGTTGAAGTTCAGATGGTGGTGGTACCTGCGTTCCCCACGGGTGCCGTGGGGCCTCTCTGCCCGGTGCCTGACGTGGCGAGGCAGGGGACTGAGGCAGCAGCGGCGGCGGCGGCGAGGAGGAATAAACATATTGAGCCGCCTGAACGCCACTGGCCGGTTGGGGCGCGGGTGCAGCCATGACGCGCTCGGGGTTGCTCGGCGCAGGGGCCTGGCAGGCGTGTGTTTCATCCTGCAGCGATGGACGCTCTCGAGGCCGTTGCGGTGAGGTTCCCACTCGACCCGCGGCAACGTCGTGCCCCCTGACAAGTAACTCTTCGACTGATGGGGCCAACACTGTCACCGTGGAGGCTGAGCGGGGGGTGGCGGTGCAATTTTCGTCAAGACGCCTTCGCGGGGAATGGGGCGGTGCCCGCGGCGGTGCCGTGCTCGCGTTAGGTGCCAGTCGATTGATGCTCGAGCAGCCACGCGACGGTGGCTTCCCCGCACGCAGGACCCCCGCGACACGTTCACTCAGGGGTCCGCGCCGCACAACTGCGGGGTCTGCGCCGGTGTCCATCGGCTTCTAGAAAAAATAATAATAATAATAAATAAATAAGTGCGGGAGCGCATATATACACACACATGCATATCGAGGTACCAAGCATGTGTGGATGCAGGCGTGTGCTTCTGTTGAGCCTGTCCCTCATAAACTAATGGATGCCGGAGCGCACGTGCAACACCCCTCTCTCTCTTCGCCGTCGTCATAAAATAAAACAAAAAAAACAATAATAACAAAAACATCTCCGTTCTCACATGTTCTCTCTCTCTCTCTCTCTATCTATCTATCTAGCACACACAACTTTCATTCCCCACCCTTTTACGCCCACCGCGAGGTCAAGGGCAGGGAGTGCATCATTCACGTTGTCTCAATTGGCTGAGAAAGAAGGTAGATGTACTTCGTCAGGAGTGTGCTCCAGCAGCGACTACCAATGATGTCCGCGTCTGCCCATGTGGAGCACAACTGCTTGAGCCATGAAACAAGCAGCATGGCGATCATGCAGACAGCGTCGCGGTCTTCCTTCTTCACATGCGCCACCGCTGCAGCTGTGTTATACGCTGGGGGTGCCGTAGCGGGTGAAGAGGCAGCGGTGGCTGCCGTCCCAGAGCCGCTGGTGGTGTTGGTGCTGGATGTCGTCGTTGTGGAACGCGCCGCGGACAGTTTGGCCTGCACATGAACGTACGCTGCCTGGTCAATGTCGAGCGGGAGGATACCCTCAAACTCCTCCGCCCCGGGTGGCTTCGCCGAACTCCGCGCCGTCTCGCGAGCGTTGTCCACTTGCAGTGAGCCGTACTGCTGCACCGTGCAAAGCGCCACAAGGAGGGTAGACTCAATGAGCGTCGGCATAATTTTCTCCAGCGCACGATTTAACAGACGCACAGGGGGCGCCGCCACCCCACTCGGCGTTGCAGCATGTGGTGCCTCAGCGCCTACAGGAAAAGATGGACTGGTACTGCTGCCACCCCCACCACAAGCAACAGCAATGCCGCTGACGCTGCCGCTATTATTATTACTATTACTACTACTACGGCCGGCCATGGTGTGAGGAACCGTTGCGCTGCTGCCACCCTCCTGATACGATGGGGCAATGCTTGTTACCTCCTCGTCCGTCAGCGCCACGGCCGCCCCGTTCCTGCCAATGTCATTCAGCGTGAAGAGGTACGACAGACACATGCAACACCGCGCTGCTGCCTGCAGGGCAGCATCGTCGCCGCCGCCGCCGCCTCGATCCACGCAGTCGTCATCGTGAAGGCGGGGTGAGGGACGCCGCTGGGGCCACGCGGCGGCGTACGCCAGCTGCACCATCTCGTCAAGGAGGAGGCTCAGCAGGTGCAAGGCGGCCTTCTGATGCTCAACCGCGAACACCATGCGCTGTGCAATGCGCTCGTTGTCCAGCACGATCGCCGTCAACGCCTTGAGCCGCTCCTCCAGCGACAGTCCTGGGGCAGCCGCCACCTCCGTGACGTGAGGCTCCATGAGCAGCAGCTGCTGCCATTCCGCGGCGGCCGCCTTGTCAAGCGTGACAAAGAAGGCGCCCTCCGACACCGACATTCGTGACAGCCACGACGCGGTGGGAACCAGCTGCGGGGGCGACGTCGCCTTGACGCCTTTGCCTCCATCCTGACACTCCTCACCACCACTGCTCATATGTGACGACGGGGGGTAGGCCTTAAAGGCGTCGAGAAGACACTCCGGACCACTGGGTATCGCCGGTGGCGGCACCCACACATACGCCTCATTGCCGCGTTCTATTTGGTACGGCTCCGTCCGCCACCGGAGCAGGGTGTCGCCCTGCAGGAGCGAGTAAAGGCGCCAGCGGTAGTACAACTGCTTGGGGTCCCGCCATGATGCATGCAGGAAAGCAAAGTGACGATTGTTTTCCTCGCGTTTCATGATTTCCTCCTCCGCCGTGGGACCACCCTGCACAACATAAAAGGCGATGATGTCTAAAAAAGCAGTGACATCCACCGGCAAATCATGCGGTACATGAAGGCGGGGGGCAACGTCTGGAATGGTGTACGTCGCCTCCTCGCGGCGGCGGCGAAACGGCGGCCGACGGGGCGGTGAGCTACGACGTTGCTGCGGATGTAAGCGGTAGTGCTGGGGCTGGCCGTAGCCGCTGTTGCTGTTGTTGCTGCTGTGGTAGTAATGGGATTGCTGGGGATGCGCATCCGGGCTTCGAGAACGCTGCCGCCGCATCCCCCCACTGCCCCCGCGACCGCCGCCGTAGTTGCTGTGGTTTTCGCTGCTGTTATGATGGTACGACATCGCTGACGGGTGCGACGTTAGTTCCAACGGCGTGTGTCGTAAGGGACCAGTGTGACAAGGAGAAGGATGAAAATGATGCCCACGTCACCGGTTCCCCCTTCCACCGTGTGTGTATGTTTATGCAGCAAAATAAGCCCTATACTAATTAAAGAAACGTAAACACAACAACAAGAGGAGAAATCAACGATGAGGACAATAAAGCGGTGTATGCACGGCACCATACGTGTATGTCTGTGTCTGTGAGTGGGCGGTGCGGGCAGCCACTTCGCCGCTTCCCCCCCTCCCCCTCCTACTCCTCCTCCTCCTCCATTGCTTCATTTCGTCATGTCCGTTTGTCCCCTATTCAACGTGTTCTCAGAGCCGCAGGTGGTCGATCTCGGCACGCTTGAACTCCACCCGACAACCCAGCACGCGCCTCTTCTCCTCCGCGCTGAGCCCCTCGCACACGTCCTGCTCAGCGTCCTTCGGGCTGTCCAGTAGCAGCAGTGAGGTGGCGCTGATGAGTGGCAGAAACGGCTCCCGCAGCTGCAGCTCCTGGGCACGCCCAAGAAAGAAGGCGCGCAGCGTGCGCACGTCGCGGTCCACCTGCAGCGCACCGTACCCGCTAAACGACTTTTGCAAGAGCGACTGCCACATCTTTCTCACCAAGCGTCGCACCAGAGCGAGGAGGAACATGTCAAAGCAGTGTGTCTCGAGAGCCGTGTCGAAGGGCCGCAGCACCGCATCCGCCGTGGCGACGCAGGCCTGCACCCACGGGTCGCTCAACTCATAGTGGTAAAACACCTCCTCCGTGAGGTTGTACGAAAGGGCAGAGAAGCGTTCGAGGTGCGAGGCGAGGTGCGCCTGGTAGCAGACCTCTGCGAACTGGGTGACCCACTTCTGAACGGTGTCCGCGAGCTCGCGCGCGACCACGTCCATGTCTTCCGCCTGCTCCGTGAAGCGCAGCATGTCCTTCACGGAGAAGTTGGCGCGCGCCAAATGCCGCAGTTCGTCTGCAAGCCTCTGGGCGTACGTGGTGGTGCGGTGTGCAGCGGCGGTCCAACGGAGCAGACGGGACGGAAGTGTGAAGTCCGCGCGCTGCTGCCGCAACTGTTGCATCTGCGTCGCCGGCGGCATTGCTGCGTTTAGCTGCAGCACAGGAACAAGCTTGGACTGCACAAGATCGGTGCAGGCAATAAAGACGGCTGAGATAATTTGCGTCGACTTCGTGTTCACCGCACGGTGCAGGGCAATGCGAAGGAAAAAAAACACATCGTCGGGTAGTGTGATGGGGACGTGGTCCGTAGCAGCGTCCGGCACATTTTCTTCCTCGATGCCACCACCCGCCGCCGTGGAGGTATACAACGCCGCAAGCCCAGTCATAAACGTTGTCGCCTTCCTTGCAGATGGGCTGCCGTACGCCTCGACTCTTCTACCGCCGTGATTCGGCTTACTACTACCACCACCACCACTGCCGCCTTCCTCCGCGCCTGGTACTGACGCCTCTCGGGCTGCAGCGTGTAGCGCGTCCGTCTGCAGTCGAAGAGCCTGCTCAAAGGCTGCGTCAAAGTACAACTTCTGCAGCGGCACAAAAACGCCCAGTATCTCTTGCACCGTGTTCATGAGCGGGTTGTCGCGCGAGGACCACAGGGAATCTACGGAAACCGTCGCCGCCCCCTGTTGCTCGTGCTGTTTCTCAGCGTCGCCTTCCCAGTGTATGTACTCCCGCTGCTTCGACTGGGCAAACTCCCAGTACAAGTGACAGCAAGACACGAGGTGGGACATTTCCTCTAATATTTGATCTGTTCGACGTGGGTCAACGGAGATCCCTGTCGCAACACTCGGGGGTGAAGTGGCACTGCTGCTGCCAGCGGCCGTTGAGCCGCCTGTAAAACGACTCGTGCCTGCGCTGTTTGCGTGCATACCACCGGCGGCCGTGACGGAGCTCAGCACCTCCTGCCGCTTCTTCAAGAAGTCCTTCAGCACCGGCACACATTGGCTGGTGGACTTGCTGTGCAGCTCCGTAAGCAGCAGCAGCAGCCCCGCATTCCCAAACGTCTCCCGCATGAACTCCTCCTCGTTCTCGAAGGCGGCCACGACGACGTCCAGGACGGTGGACACCAGCCCAAGGTGGCTCATGCCGGCCTCGGTGGGGTCGTCCATCTTGCGCAGCTCCCGCTCCACCATCTTCTTGAGCGCGGCGATGGTGTGCTCGCACAGCCATGTGGAGTAGAGCTCGCACCCCTCCTCATGGAGGCCCAGCCGCGTCAGCAACCGCGTGGCGTGCATGATGGTCAACTTGTCATTTGCTCGTGAGGCAGCACGAAATTTATCCAGCAGTTTCTCTCGCGCCGCCTCACGTGCTGAGGCAATAATACTCGCCGCCTCAGAACAATGACCGCCGTCACCGCTGCCGGGGTCTGCGTCCCCCGTTACTTGGGCTGCACCGAAACGCGGGAGCCGTGCTGCGCCCTTGGCACCGTCCTTTTCCCCCGCCGCCTGCTGCGCCGCCACCTCCACCGTCCTAATGTTTGTGTCATCTCCATCCCCGTTCTCTCCCTTCGTAGGCCCACCGCCGTCATCCTCCTCGTCATCGCCCTGCTGCAGCAGTGACAACGGGGCGCGGCCGCCGAAGTTCATGTTCGCAGCCTCGTACTTGCAGATGAGCTCCACAGTACGCTCCAGGTCGCCGGCACCAATCGTCTCATTCACCCCGGCCACAGTGTGCCGCATCTCCCGCAGCGAGTCCGCCACCACCTGCGCCTCCCGCACGCGGCGCAGCAGCGCGTCCAACTGCTTCACCCGTCGCGAACTCCGCTCCGCCAGCGACGCACTCACGCCAATGGTGCGCGCCAGGTCGGCGCTCGTGTCTACCAAGGAGAGCAACATGCGCCGCGACACCGCACGCACTTCCTCCACGCACGCCGAGAGACTCCCAGTGTCGGCTACGACCTGCCAGACCCCCTCCACGAGCTGATCGCGACGCTCAGCGCCTTTGGCGATGCGACGCAGCAGCGTGTCCACGCGCTCCTCGAAGTTGTCAAGGCGCTGCATGATGGTTGTGCTGCGGGGCAATGTGCACGTGCAACACGACGACCGCGGTCCGTTGCCAGAAAAAAAAATATGTTATTCTTCCTGCCGCCTTTCTTGCCGTGTATGCACGTAAAGATTGAGAAAGAAAGAAAGCGATGGAGAGAGTGGTCGAAGCGTAAGAGGGGCAGAGAGGCGGCATATGCACGCACACACTTACGCAGAACCCCCCCCCCCCCACACGAGGCACCACCGCCGCTGCCAACAATAATAACAATCATAATAATATCAACAGGTGCACAACATACCGATGCATTCTCCTACTTCGCCGCATATATGCATAGAAAAGAGAGACAGCGAAAAGGAGAAGGGGCTCTCTATTTCTTTCTTTCTTCTTCTGCATAGCTTTCCTCTTTTCCCCCCCCCCTTTTTTTGCCTGTTTCGTAATTCTTTCGAGTGCCCCCGTCCTTCTCTCCCGCTTATACCACACCTTCCTCTCTCTTTTTGTTCTTTACTCGCTTCTCTCCTGCAACGGGCGGAGTTTATAGTTGGAGCCACGCGCCTCCTTCAGCTCCATGTATGCACACTGCGCGAGGGAGTGGGCGGACACTATGCAGTGATGGCACCGTAAAGGGAACTCCGCGTGAAGGCCTCCATAAGTGCCGCAAGGGCGGGCGGCATCCGCACAAGACGGCACCGCTGCTGGCGAATGAGCTCAGCGCCACGCCCACCACTGCTGTTTGCCTCGGCACAACCCACAACAAACGCCCACAGCGGCTGCAGCAACAGTTCGTCATGCGGAAACAATGGCAGGGGGCCGCCGCCGCCGCCGCCGCTGCCCGCGGCACCGTCCTGCTGTTGCCGCTCAATACGCCTACGTGCTCGCGGCGGTCCCTTCCGCATTCTCATTTTCCTCCTCATCCTCCACGTTGTCGTCCAAGTCGTCTGCGTCACCCAGGGTAAGCAGATTTTCATCCATGCCTTCGCCGCTCTTCATGCCTGTCAGCTCGCGCCTGTCGAGTTCCTGCACCCTAGTCTTTGCAGAGACGCCGGCCAAGCCAATTTGTTGCAGCAATTGCTTTCCCCCCGCGCTGTCGTCGTCGCTGCGCAGGGCGTGTTGCTGGGCGCGTTGAATCAGCGCCGAGGGAAGGCACAACAGTGCAAGCGCCACACCACTCGCCCCCGCGCGTCCGGTTCGGCCAATGCGGTGGATGTACTTCTGCACCGCCTCCTCCCCTGCACTGGCTGCGGCGGAGGGATCCACGCGTGGCATATCATAGTTGATTACAAGTGTCACGTTAGGCACATCCAGACCGCGGGAAAGAAGATCGGTGGTAATTAGCACGCGACGCTCGCCGCGGCGAAAGAGGTCGACAAGGCGTCGACGCTCCACCTGCGACTGCTCCGAGTGCACCAATGCAATGGAACGCAAGTTGCCAAGGTTCAGCGCGGGTCTCCGTCGCGGTTGCGGGGGTTGGCGACCGTCGTGCGACATCCCCTGCAGGGCGGGGGGCACCTCCCCAACAAGCGCCTCCAGCGAGAAGTTTTCCTCCAACGCGGCGAGGTGGTTCGCTTCGGCGTGCAGCTCATCGCACAGGGCGTCGCAGGTGCGTCGCTCGTTCGCGAACACCACCACAGGGGCGGTGGCGTACGCCAAGTACGTCACCAGCCGGGCAAACTTCATGGGGTGCAACAGCGGGAGGCGAGAGCGCTCCAACTGCGGCGGTGTTGGCGGCGGCAGTCGGGCATTTTGCTGCGATGTCCCGCGCCTGCCATCATTCGCCGGTGCCACACCCCCGTCGCTCGGAAACATCTCAAACACCTGCGTAATGGTTGCGCAGCGGTTTGGAACCCGCACCACGACGAAGCCGTCCGGTGAAAAATACTTCAGCGCCACCTCCTCGCATGCTGCACTCAGCGTGGCGGTGAACATCACCGTCTGCCGCGGCAGCGGACACCGCCCGAGCACAGCCACAAGCGTCTCTCTCTGGTGTTCCTCAATCATACGGTCGGCCTCATCCATGATGACAAGGTGCGTGTTGCCCAGGGCGAGAAGCCGCTGCTGCAGCAGCGTCTCCAGCTGTCCAAGCGTGCCAACCACCACATGGGCGCCCTTCGCCAGTTCATCGTACTGCGCCTCCACCGCCTCCCCGCCTACCACCTTCACCACGCGAATCTCGTCAAGTCTGTTACACCACATAGCCACACTGTCATCGCACGCGACATCCTTGTACTCCTCCTGTAGGAGTCGTCGCAGCTCTGTTGCGGGGGCTCCGTGCACAATGTCAAGCGCCTCCCGTGTCACCTGTTCCGCAAGCTCGCGCGTGGGCACCATCACAAGCGCCAGCGGGCCGTGCGCAATGAGGCTCTCATTGCCAAGCAGTCGTGGAGTGCGGCGCAGAACGTCCGCCAGCAACGGAATAAGGTAGGCCGCCGTCTTGCCGCTGCCGGTTTCTGCCACACCAAGAACGTCAATCTTTCCACTTGGCGTCGCCGCAGTCGCCATGACAAGCGGGACACACTGCGCCTGAATCGGCGTCGGCAGCACGTAGCGGCGAGACACAAGCGTTCCAAGCGCAAGCGGCAGCCGGGCCTCTTCCCAGCAACGTACCGGACGAAGTGCGTCGGCGGTGTACCGCAGAGTTCGTTTCTGTTGCTCAGGTTGCTGCTGACCGGGAGTGCGGCGGGACACCACCTCCAAGATAATCCCCACCTGCGCACGGAACACGTCCCAGCCCGCCGGTGTCATTTCTTGCAGCGGTCGCCTACTCCAGTGCGACACTTGCCGCTGATGTGCCGTATGTGGGTCGTGCTCAGCCGCCACCGTCTCGCCTGTACCCAACGGCAATGACGATGACAACAAAGATGGGGTGGACACGGAAACCGGTAGCTGCTGCCTGCGCATTTTACGCTGCAGAAGCGCATCCCGTGGCCCAACACCGCGGCGGGCAAGGGATGGGGGAACAACTGGCGCAGCACCCACCGACAAAACCTCCGCGCCTCGCGTCGTTGCATCGCCACCAAACAGTTGCTGAGGCTGACGTTGGCTCTCCTCATCCGCCTCTGCAAAGCGCACGACAGCGCTGTAGATTGGCGAGGCCCGCACCGCCGCTGGGAGGACTGCGCCCTCCGAACCCGGGGGTGACGATGACGAAAGCAGCTGCCGCACTTTATGCGGGAAGGCCATGTTGACATCACCGGTGGGGCCGTCAAACAGGCGCGGCGCCGGTGCGGCGGTGTGGCCGTCACCCACCATCGTGTCCCGCATCGGATTCCCCAGTGAGCAGCGCTGCAACTGCAGGCATCGCGGGAAGCAGAGAAAAAAAAAAAAGACAAGAAGAAGGCTGTGACAGCTGTGTGGTTGGTGAGCTGCAGGCAACGTAGGTGGGCGTGCAAAGCCGTGGAGCCGCGTGGCAGGAGATGACAAAACCAACGAGGGGAAACGGGGAGGAAATGAGAGAGAGGGAGGGGGGAAAAAACAAGCGAACGATGAACAGAGGGAGGAAGAAAAACAGCAGCGAAGGAGCCCAAACGATGCGCCAACGCCCGACAATGAAGACGCTAAAAAAAAAAAACACGCAAACAAGTGAAAAACGAGGCAGGTAGGCGTTTTTGTTTTTCTTTTGAGCAGAAAACAACAGATGCGATCACTCCACCCACCCGCAAATGGAAAGAGAAAAGGAGGAGAGAGAGAAGAAAACGAAGCATCCTTGTTTTGCTTCTCCTTGTCGCCATTCCCTCTCTTCCCGCTGGCCTCCTCTTTTCTCCGCTTAAGTCACTTCCTTTTTTTTTTTTTGTTTCGCCTTTATATCGCCTTCGTCGTACTTTTTAGAGACTTATGGACATCGAGAGTGTTTCTCTTCACTCTTTCTTCCGTTGCACATCATCTCACACTCCACGCCTCTGCGCTGGTCGCCGAATTGTCTGAGGTCATCGTCATTGTCTCCGTTTGCTTCGCTCCACTCACAATGCGGGGACCTAGCGCCAGTGGCAGTTCCATTCAGGATGAGTTTGGTTGTTGTTCTCTACAAGACACACTCCGCGCGCCCTTCTGGTCTCCAGAGCCTCTAGTACCTCCAACACCCACGCGTTGCCTCCCTCCCATGCGCCTGCATACGCGCCAGAGCACGCAAGGCACCGAGGGTGGGAGGAGAAGCCGCAATGGAGCCCCCCATCACCAAAAGAAAAAGTAAAAAAAAGTACAATACTGCTGGCCCCCAAACCCGCGATGAGCACCGCAGCCTACAGCATAAAGAAAACACAAAAAACAATAAATAAAAGGCAAGCGCTTACCTGCACCTCACATCTATCCCAACATCAATCCACACAGTCACCCACCCATGCACGCACCCACACGGGGAAAATACGTTTGTGCCCAGTTAGACGACCTTACAAGTAGGCATGTGTGCCACCAGAAGGGAGAGTAGACGATTCTTCAGCGCGTTTTATTCTTTCAAAGCCTTGTTGTTGCCTCCATCTATGTACAGGTATGTAGTTGATGTTAAACAGCTACATCTCTCTCTCTCTCTCTCTCGCTCTCTCTTTCACGTTTTTTTTTCTTTCTTCGTTGGATTGACCCCCCACCAGACTCCACTTTTATGGTGGCCAGGTCGCTAGACTAAAGCTCATCCAGCATGCGGTCCAGGTCAGTCCTTGGGCTGCGGTTATTCCGCTCCGAGGTCGTCCCATTGACATCCTGGGATTGGTTGCCCTCACGACGGCCGCGATGGCGGCTACTGCTCCTCCCACGGTGGCGTCGCTCGCGACCACCCTCCACCCCCCCGTTGGTTTCCCCGCCGTCCTCGTCGCGCCTAGCGGATCTGCTGCGGTGCTCGTGCGACCTATGATGATGGCCGCTGCGATTGTGCTTATGCCGCCGCGGTGTGCTTTCCCCAGCGTCCTCCGCTTGCGCCTCAGCCATCTGTGGTGAAATCCTGCTCCTCACCGCTCCTGCCGCCGTGGCCCCCGCGACATCCCCCTCCGGGCTGGTGGGGTCGGCAACCATCGCCCCACTGGCGTCACTTCCGCGGCGATGATGACGGCGGTGTCGCATGCTGCTGCTGCTACTGTGGCGCCTGTGGGACCCCGAGCCGCCCTCACGCATCTCTACCGCAACCGGGCCAGGCTGCGGGAACTGCTGGCCCATTCTCGGCATGGAACCTACCGGGTAGGCACCCTGCATCCGCATGTACCACTCGTACTGGTACTGATGCCAGGCTGACATTGTGGGGTCGCGGTCAACGGCAGGGTCCTCGCAGACGTCAATCAAAGGCTCGGTGCTGCCCGTCATGATGCTCCACGCTGGCTCCGAGAATCCAACGCGTTTCACGTCATTGAAGTCCATGAAAAACATGTCGCAGCGAATCCACCCGGGCATCTGATCGAGGGGAAGTGCTGGGCGCATGTTTCCAATGCCGGGTTTGCACGTCGTGCGGATGAGGAGCCACGGCAGAAAAAGTACAATCCACAGAACCAGCTCCACAAAGATGTTTACGAGGGGCCAGGCGAGATAAACCGTGACGCATATGACAGAAGCAGTAAAACGAGTATTGTATGAGTCAAAAAAATCTCGCAGTTCTCCATATGTGGAATCGCGGTAAAAAAAATAAAAGGCCCAGAAGGAGGACAAGAGGTTACACACCCAAAATAGCACTGCCACACCCATCACAAACCACGCAATGCGCATGAATTCGTAGAAGGGTGTGCCGTAAACCTGAATGGGCGCTTTGACGATGGGCATAATAGGCGGTGCTGTGAGCTGCAGTTGTTGTTGTTGTTGTTGCTGCTGTTGTTGTTGTTGTTGTTGCTGCTGCTGCTGCTGATCGTGCGCAGATGATCCCCGCCCAGACTCGCGGGCAGACGCGTCAGATCTCCGCCTCTCTTCATGCCGACCTTCTCGCTTGGGGTCCAGCCTTTGTGGCTGAGGCTGGAGGGGAAAGTCCGCCTGGCGTACAAGCTTCCGACGCTGGAAATCCACGATGCTGGCGTAGGCGAGCGTAAATATGGAGAAAATCATGGCGAGGAAGTACAGGGTATAACACTGCATGTTCCACGCGCTAAGCTGAACGACAAACACGTTTGCATTGAGAGTGTTTTCCATGCAGAGATTGCCAGAGAGACCAAGCACGTTGTTGAAGGTACAGTTGGGCCTGTAAGCAGTAAGATCTTCTATTAAACTCTGTAGAACAACGGTGTTTGTAGCACCAAATGTTGTGAACAGGTCGTTTTTTCCTCCCAATGATACTACCACGATGAAGGCTGAAATGCTCAATAAAGTAAAGAAAATCATACAGCAATACGTGTAGTCACAGTTGGAGGTAAGGCAGTCCATGCAGCCCGGTGCCGTCGGCGGTCCACAGCAGTACGGGTCTATTGGGCCGTTGTTGCAGAAACAGAATCCACCACCCGCGACAGGGTTTGCGACGCAGTCACAAGGTCCAGGATTGCCGGGTACGCCGTAATACGTTTGGTCACACTGGCCTTGCCCAGTGTACCCCTGCATGTACGGCGGCATCTTCCACGCTGGTGGTTGACCATGCTGCTGCTGTGAAAACATGGGAGTCTGCCGCTGACTTGGGAGTGTTGCTGCTTGAGATGCCGCGTACGCAGGCGGGTAGGAGGATTGAAACCCCACGGAAGAGGGTGCGCCATTTATCGTCTGCCACTGCGGCCCTGCATCCAACCGTGGCTGCTGCCGCTGTTGTTGTTGTTGTTGTTGTTGCTGCTGCTGCTGCTGCTGCTGGGACTGTGGCGGCGGATACCAGAGGCCACCCCCTTGTGCCCAAGCCTGTTGTGCCATGAAAGAGTTTGTGTGGTGTGTATGGGTGTATCCCTCCTAAGATAGCCTGCGCCCAGCAAGGCGTGAGCAGAAGTGCCAGAAACACGCAGTCCGCGTAGAAGCAAATAATGATAACGAGAGAAAAAAAAAAAACAATTCAAGGGGCAGACGTCACACGATAGGGGTTGGGCCCCACGTCCCCCACATATATTTTTATTTCTTTTCCGTTTCCGTTTCTCCCTCCACCCACGCCGACGGCCGACGGAGCAGAACACAACACTCACAGCCGTACGATACACACGCATGCACGCAAACAGAGGGAAAGGGAAACACGCACGCGCGCACGCACGCAGGACCACATAATAATAACAATAAAACGCAGACAAATATGACGCGCACCGCAGACACAAACAAACAAAACAAAACACGGCAACAACAAAACCATAAAAAAAAAATCACAAGACCCGTCTTCGTCAGATTTGGGTTGTGTGTAGGTTATCCCCGCGGCACCAGTTCTCCCAGACGGCCTGGGTGGCCTGGTAACTCCCGTGGCTTCGCGCACACGGCTGCTCCGCCTCCGCAGGCCGATGCGGCTGCCTGTCCAACGTAGTGTTTCCCCCCGCGTAGTTCAACACCACTGCACCACACAAAAGGCACGACAGACACGGCTTTGTGCCCTTCGGCAGGTGGGAGCAGGTCTCAACGCAGGTGTGACACGCCTAACGGCTGGCGGTGTTCAGGATGCCGAACACGGCAAGTGTGCTGCGGCTGCTAAGCAGGAGGCAGAGATGGTACGCAAGGAGGTGTATGTAGCCGCAGGTTAAGCGACCCAATAATTGCGCTCCTCCACCACCACCGCATCAAACTGTCCATCGACCTTGTTGATGTGAAACGGGCCCACGCCGCTCGCGTTGCCCACCATCCAGTTATGCGGCAGGAGGTCACTGTGGCGCGGTGTGGCTATCATGCCGCCCACGGAGGCGTCACCGCTCCATCTGCTTTTTTTCTTCATTTGCCTGTTTGTTTCTGTCCCCTCTTCACTTCTCTCATCCTCTCTTCACATCTCTCTCTCTCTGTATGTGTGTGTTTTTTTTTATGCATATGTTTGTATGCATGCGAAAGTAAATGAAGCAAACCCATCGGACAAAAAATACGACGGCACCTTCGCAACCCTGCCCCTTCTTCTCTCTTCTCTTCGCAAAAGTGTCTTTCCCGCTTCCTTCTCACTTCATTACCCCGCAAGGGCAGATGTCATGTACCCCTGCTGGCTCTTTGCTTCTATGGGCCGCTGCGTAGGGGGGCGAAAGCCACAATAAAGTCACCACCGTGCCCTTTTGCCTCCCACCTCTCCTCCGCAGAGAAGAGAGAAGTCCTATATACGTTACGTACAGGGCAGACAGAGCCACACCCACACGATCCCCAACCACGGTTCCGTCTCTGTCTTTCTTTCTTTCCCTACGTGTATGTGTGTGTGTGTGTGTGAGTGTGTTTGCCTGTCTGCAGTGTCTTTTTCTCCACGCACGTCCTACTCTCCCTGGCCTGTAAAGTCCTCAAATGTGACGGCGGTCGTAGTTCTCCGGATTCATCCCCGCATCCTCAATGCTACTGTTTGACTGCGACATCTCCGGTGCCCCAAATTTCGTCAGTCCCCGCACCCACCACTCCATCTCCTGCTCCGTCTGGATCACTTGGCCCTTCCCAAACTCCAGCCGCAGCTCCGTCCACTCCTCCCGCGCCGCCGCCGCGTCGGAGGCGGTGCCCCTGTCAAGGTTCTCCTGCGTTCCCATCGCCCAAAGCCCTTTGTGGTCAATTTCAAAGACAAACGCGTTCGTCAGCTTCAGCGCAAAGTTCATGTTGAGCGACGACACTAGCTTTTGCCGCGCCAGATTAAGCATGCGGAGGAAGCGCGGCGCACATCGGCAGAGCGGGTCAGGGTCGGAGATGACAGGCTCCCACACACGCTGCGTCTGTGAGGTGACGTTCATCCAGAGTTTCACGTCTGGTCGCAATCGCAGCAGTGCAAAAGTCTCCGGCTTGATGACGTAAATGGGCCGATCCTCGTCTTCCTCAGCGGTGGGGTTGCGCTCGCGCTCCTTAAAATTGGCGCGCCAGTCACTGCTGCTCATGCGTCGCATGCGCTCCTCGTCCTCCTCGCGCTCCCGGCGCTCAATGTTGACGACTTCCTCCTCTGTCTTGCTGTGCTTGCGATTCCACATGTCCTGCGCGATGTTGTGGACCACCGGGTGGCGCGAAAAGGTCGTCTTCCACGCCTCCTGCTGCATGTCGCCGGAGAGCAGCTCTAGTGGGCCGGAGAGGATTGCCCGCGGCGGCAGCGTGCCAAGCTGCTTAAACCAGTGAAATAACTGGGGGTCGGTGTGCCCCACCATAAGACTCCCCCGCGAGCACTCGAGGACGTTGCGAAAGTGTTCCGAGTTTTTCGGGACCGCCACGAGAAGAGACCAGTTATTGTCCCCCATGAATCTGTGCATGGCGTGGGGTTGCAGGTCACTTTTGACAGGCGCATCCCCCGCATCCTCGTCCTTGCCGCCGCCACAGTTGAGATCGTTACTAGCGCCGCTGGAGCCGTATCCCATGGGAATGCCGGTCTCCTTCAGCCGACGCACGTTGCTCGTCGTGAGCTGTCCGGTGCGGTACGTCCACAGCGTGTTGAAGAGGCGCGTGTTGTATGGGGCATCGCGGTTGGACTGCACCTTCTGCTTGATGGTGCGCCCCGCTGCAGCCCTGCCAGTTGACATCTACCAGACACAAAGAGAGAGAGAGAGAGAGAAGGAGAAAAGAGGGGAAGGAAACAGGGAACGTGCATGTTTTTTTTTTTGGCCGCAGCACCACTGCCACAATCTGCCGCCATTTTCGTCACATCATTTATATATATATTTTTCTACGATCACGCACGTTTCCTTTTCCCCCGCGCCGCCTCACTTGTCGCCGCCACCAAACATGTTTAACACGGGCTTCACGCATAACCAAGAAAAAAAAAAAAACACGCCAACAAAAAAGAAAAAAAAGCGCCTAGATACGAGGCCCCGCCCTCGCCACATCCACACAGCGAGAGCGTAGGGACCACGTGTGGGGGTGGGTGTATGTGGGGGAGGGGGACGGCCCAGTGCACGACGACCGGCATCCCCCAACCACAAAACGGTCCCCGCCTAACGCCCAGCCGCACACGTGGGTTCATGCCATGTCTGCCGTGCGCTGACGAAGTGGAAGGCTGTGGGCCCCGCAATCACTGTAGCCCATTTCGTGGAGGGTAGTAAGACACAAAGAGAAGGAGCAAAACAAGACAACAATACCACAAGAAAGAAGTGCCCCCGCGCCCGCCTTCAACGCGGCACCGCTGCCAACATGGAGCACGCAATCAACAACAATAATAATAATAATAAAGCAAGAGCGTCAAACACGACCCGCCATCATCTCACACAACCCCTACTGAGCCAAACACTTCCTCCAGAAGCGTGTGGCTTCCCCCAACGTAAAAGAAAACAATTATCCCCAACAAAATATTTGACTCGCAAGCACGCCCCCCTCTCTGCTACATGACACATCTCGTCTTGCATACGCACAGAATTCATTGCGGTAGACAAATTTACTGAAATACTTCGCTTCTTTTCCTCTCACCCGTCCAAAGTCAAAAGTTTTTCTTATTTAAAAAAAAAAAAAAAGAGAGATGAACATACATGGCATACTTCAGAGCCTTTATTTTGTCTTTTTGAATTCCTTAGCCTTTTCCCCGCGGAGAGAGACACATTTTTGCCTAGCTGCATTCGTGAGGTATATGTATATGTATGTTAACTGCATGTTAAACGGTGCGCCAGAACAGCATTGTTACCACGTACGTACAAAACATTGCTGTAAGCACCATGAACAGTGGAACGCCATCCTTAGATGCCTTGAGGGCGTCGTCATCCAAATTCGGCGTACGCATCAAAATATCCGCCTCTGTATGGCTGGAACGCGCGTGTGAGAGGTGCTTACTACTGCTGTTGTACGTGGCCTCCGCTGAGGCAGCGGGGTCGGGGACGGGGGCATCCGGTTCACGGCACAGCGCGTCGATGTTACGCTTTAGCGCTCGCAACTCACTGGAACCGGAGCTCCGGAACTGTTTTTCGGGTACCATCGCGAAGGCAGGGCTGAGACTAAGCCCACCCGCAAGCGTCCCCGGCGTGCGACTCAGAAACGTCTCTCGCAACAAGGGCTGTACCAGTTTCGCGGTGGGCGGCACCACCACCACCCCCTCGCCCTTCTTGCTGCTGTCCGTCGTGACACCCTCCATGTACACCTTGAGGCTGATGGGGGCGCCGCGCACCGCCTGGTGTGTGCCCCCCACCACGAGCTCCCACACGCCCCGCACCACCTCCGAGAAGCGGCCCTCCGCGGCAAGGCCGTGCAACAAAGGCTCGTACGCGGCGCGGCAGCCAGGAATGTACATCGACTCAAAAACAATCCTCTCATGGCAGCTGTGGTTGTAGCCGCCTCCGCCACCGGGGGAGGTTGCGATGGGCTGCGCAGTTGTTGCTGCAATTTCACTGGGCGTGTCGGTTACCACCGGACGAAGGCCGAAGGTAACCTGTGTACGGCAAGCTTCATGTGGCTGACCAGCGCCGTCCGTCACGAGTAGTGCCCCGTAGCGCGGGTGCACGTAAAACAACTTCGGCGCAGAGGATTTCACCTTAAAGATAACGCTACTATACGGCGGTGATGCCCCACCGCCCTCCTTCACCTGCCACGTGAGTGTGATGATGTTTTCCACAGGTGTTTCAGTGAAGTAAATGCCCCCACAAGAAGCTATCAGCGCCATGATTGAGACGTGTTGTCGATGCTGCTATTCGCAAGGACTACACACAGATAAAAAAAAAGAACAAAACCCAAACCAAAAACTACTTCTACGCAAACAAAACGGGAAATTCAGTTCTTTTCTTCCTTCCTTCTTATCACCTCTTCAAACACGCAATAAGGCTCGCCCAGTACAAAGAGAAAGGGCGTACGCACACAGAGTGTTTGAGGTTAAGACGCCGGCTGCTGTGCTGCTGTCCTGGAGCAAAGCGCCGTGTTCCCTTGTGGTTTTCCTCACTGGGCGTGGCATCAAACATACGCACACACGCATACACAATCAAAGAAGCAACAAGAGGCATGGACCAATTTCAGCGTATAGCATAGAGGAAAGACGGCGGAAAGAGCAGGTGCATGAAATGTCTCGTAGCTGCACACATGGCGTGAAGCTCAAGCACATTTACATGCCACACACTGAAAGAGAAGGGAACACAAGAAAGAAGGACCCCCGCGCCCGCCTTCAACGCGTCACCGCTGCCAACTTGGAGCACGCAATCAACAACAATAATAACAACAAAACAGGAGCGTCAAACACGATCCGCCATCATCCCACACAACCCCTACCGAGCCAAACATACACATGCACCTCCTCCTCCTCCCGTACACACGATGCTACAAAAAAAAAAAAGAGGCGTTGCCAACGTGAAGACGTGGAGGAGACAGACATACTGAGAAGCAAAAACAAAAACCGATACTTCGGATTAGCCCAATGCGCGCCTTCATTTCATGTGTTCCCTCTTCGTCTTCGTCTTTGTTTTGGTTTTGCCCTCACACCGCATCTAAAGCGTACAAGTTCCGCCTCCTCTTCTGCCGCTCCCTGCCTGCTTCACAAGTGAAAGGAGAACGCAAATAATAATAATAATAATAATAATTTCCCACCTGCAGCGTCCTTTCTATATCTCTGCCCGTCTTTGCAGAAGCGGGAGGGAAAGGCATTCCACGAATCAACGCCCACATGTTCCGCCCATGCACGTGGCGGCGCTCTCCTCTTCCAGTCTCCACGTCAGCCAGCGGGGAGGTGAAGTGCTCGTTTTTTCATCTGTTCCTGCTTTCCTCTCCTGCTGCTGCAGTGCGACAATGGAGCTCGGCCACCCCAAAAACACCACCTCCCTCCTCCCTCCTACCTCCTCTTCTTTCCCAGCCGCGCCACAATGTCTTTTAGCTTTAAAACACCAAGCTCTCGTGCTGGCAGAAACGACTAGGCACGTTAACAACAACACCAACATCACACACACACACACACAAGGCATGACTTACTCATGCACACCTCTGCATATTTCTATATCTTTTTATTTTGCTTTTTATCCATCACGTTCCCGCACCAATTCCATGTTGTTTGGTTTCACATGCATCAACTCATTCCCTTCTTATGTATACGTAATACATATATACATATATGTATATATATATGTATATATTACGTTTTAGTTCTTTTTCTCATCCTTAAATCTCAATCCCTGCGCACTTCATTCCTCTGGAACAAGATGCGCACACCACGTGGGTTCCCTCATCTATGCAAGCCCGCACTATCAATCCATCAGATGCATATATATGCATCTGATGTAGGGGTTAGTTGGCTGCTTGGTTGCTTGCGTTGCTGCCACGGCTCAGACGTTGATAGTGTCGGGAAGTCATTTATACAAATACACACGCGGCGCGGCAGCAACACGTGAAGCAGCAGCCGTCACGTCGATGCACGGTCACGTGGATTGTCGTGGGCATGCGCCAAAAAGCGCCACCACAAACCCACACAATCTCCCCGGCTCTGTTCCTTGTTTTCATCCTCTTCCTTTTGTTCTACTTGGCTGCCATCTCTCTCTGTTGCGTTGCCGCCACCACCGCCGCTGCTGCTGCAGCTGCTGCTGCTCGCACGAAGTTCCACGTAACTGACAGGCACATAAATATGAACAAATATGAATATAAATATGTTAGACTTCTCCACTTGTCGTAGTACAGTAAAAGACACAAACACGCAGAGAGAGAGAGAGAGAAAGACCGATGGAACACGTCAGAACGCGCCCCATCGCCTCCTCCCGTACATGCACAGGCTGCTGCTGCCGTGCTGCTGGTGTCTGCCACCCCCTTCTGTGACTTATTCGCTCGCAGGCGTTCGCTGACCGCATCCCCAATCATTATTTTTCCTTCTTTTTTTTTCATTTTCTCTTCTTTTCCCCTTTTGATCAACTCCCCGCTTTGCTTCTGCCCACTCCTTACTCCTTGCACAGCCCTTTTTCTTGCTCACACACGGAGAAAAAAGCGCACTGTCGCGGACGGATTCTCTGCTAGTCACGCTGGCGCTACAACATGCCCTCCTCACCCATTTCACGCCGCACGTCATCAAACCAGCTGTGACGAAGCGCCTCGTAGGCAGTGATGCGCTGGCGTGGGTTGTAGAGCAGCATGCGCTGCAGCAGATCGATTCCGTCTGCGTCCAGCGTTGGAATAACGCTGCTTAGCGGGATGGGCCGCCACTGCGGGAAGGAGACGTTGTAGTGCGACAGCGACGACACGCCGCGCCACGTCGTTTCTGACGGGGTTCCGAGCATCTCGAAGATGGTAAACAGTTGGCTGATGGCGGTTTCAGAGGCGAACAGCGGTGTTCCCTTGGCGAGTTCCGCCATGACGCATCCCATGGACCACATGTCAACGGCGGGGAGGTAGTGATTGTCCCCAAGAAGGACCTCTGGCGCCCGGTACCAGAGCGTCATCACCTCTGTTGTGTATGTTTGCAGCGGAACGCGGAAGGCGCGGCCCAGGCCAAAGTCCGCCAGCTTCACCACGGACTCGTCGCGACTGATGAGAATGTTGCTCGGTTTGATGTCACGGTGCACAAAGCGACGGCTGTGGCAGGCGTGTAATCCTAATAATAACTGAAACATAATACGCTGCAGCTTCCCTCCCACAAGTGGTGTGGCGCGCTGCTTGATAAGTCCCTGCAGGTCCTTCTCCATGTACTCAAAGATGAGGAGCAGCTTTGAGTCCTGAAGGGAAACATCGAGGAGTCGCACCACGTATGGGTGATCCAGCTCGCGCAGCAGTGACACCTCCCGGACCGCGGTTGCCGGTACCCCCTCATCCTTCAGCTTCAGCGAGATCCGCTTCACGGCGACGGTGCGACCGGTCTGTCTGTCAAGGCACTTGTACACAACCCCGTAAGACCCCTCACCCACCTTCTCCTGACGAAAGTAGCGATCATTCGACTCCCAGGAAGCATAGTGCGGCTGTGGCATACTTCTCTGCGGCTGTGGCATACTTCTCTGCGGCTGCGGCTGAGGCTGAGGCTGAGGCTGAGGCTGCGAAGTCAGCGTGTCGTACATCACATCCCCCGTTGGATTCATTGGCAGTCCTACAGCCCACGCCTGCCGTTCCTGATACTTTTTTGCCCCTCCTCCGTTTTGTGGCTATCCTTGTAGACACTGCGCAGACAAAGAGAAGGAAGGGAGGAAGGCGAAGGAGACAGAGCAAAGGGAGTGCAAGGCGGAGTGTGAGTAAGAGAAGGAGTGCGTGATTGAGTGAGAGGAGGGAAATGAAACAACAACAACAACAAAGACACGCACAGACACCACTGTAAACCTCTCATTCCCCCACCACGTCGCAGTAACTTGGCTCCGCCGGAAACCAATTCTCTCAGGTGACGCTTACCAACGATGCCCCCGTGGCCCCGTCTAGTTCCCCTCATTCATTACGCGTCCCAATGTTCTCCACCCCGCCGCGTGGCCTTCGGGCACGGGAGGACCGCCGCCAGCAGCCGCGCCGTGCCATTTACCCCTCCCTCTCGCTCACCCGCTGAGGTCCCCTGCCCCCCGCGCACTACTGTACGAGTGTGATGGTCTTGATTTGTGCGCCACGGATAAAGCGAATAGGCGCCACCAGTGACGACGATCCCGGCCCCTCCACGGCTTTGCTGCCCTCGCCGGCGACGCCCCAATCCTGCAACATCACGTTGCAATGATCATCCACAGCCAACAGCGTGCCAGCCACCATCTCGTCGTTCACTGTGCCTACGCGCACGCGCTTCTCAAGGCCCTCTACAAGAAATGCAAACGGGTCCATTGCCCTTCCGCTCCCTAACAAGAGAGAGCACGACAGCAAGGAAGAGAAACTATCACTCAGATTCACAAGAACCACAAAACAACAACAGCAAAAGAAAGTCCCAAAATGAGTCCTCCGCAGCAGCTAAACACAAACACAAACACACACACACACACTGATGCCAAGTTCTTTTTTTTTTTAATTTCCAACGTTCGCTGTCGGTGAAATCTATACACCAAAAAAAAACCCCTACGCTGCGGTGTTCCTGCGGGTAACCAACCCTCCCAACTGCAACAAAAAGAAGTGGCAACGCAAACATCGTAAGGGAGAGAGAGAGAGTATATGTGATTGCTTGCGGAACAGCCTCAATCGACGGCATCGTCATTTTCATTTCCTCTACCCCCTCTCATCTTCAGCCTTGCTTCTCATGCTGTTGCCTTCCTTCCCCTTTTCCTGCTCCTTGCCTGCATCCCTGGAACGGACTACCTTGCCACAAG